ATCAAATTCCAATTTCACACACCATTCGATTAGAATTGGAATGGACCATTTTGATTTCGATTATAGACCCCTATTCGGCTATTCCTGCAAACCAAAATGGATCCTAGATTAGATTATAGAGTAGGATACCAGTTATCTATAATGCACATTTGAATTCGAATTCATTGTACTCTGGTCTTAGCTGTGCATCCTGTTATTCATAACACTGAAACATATTCACATTTGAATTCGAATTCTCTATACTTTGTCTTTAACTATACATCCAATATTTATTCAACAATAAACCGTATTGATGAAGGGTGATTTGGCCCGACCTAGTAAAGAGGGAACACGTGGGCACGACCTGACCAAGGGATGACAACTCAGCATAACGTAACCAGTCCGCAGCAAATCGAGCTCGGGTACCCAACCACCCCGAGCTAAAATGACCTCGGGACAAGCTCACCTCGAGACGAGATCAACTCGGTACCAGATCGCAACAAGAACACCTCGATGCCAAGGCACTTCGGCATTCAACCCAGTTCGGGACTTAAAGATATCAGTTCGGGGATACCGACACGCCACTACGCGGTGGTCCCAAAAATCCCTCCAACAGATCCCGAGCCTCACGAGATCACACCGTGTAACAGCTAACATTATCTCCCCGCCCGATTAGGGCGGAATTGATGAACCTTATCGGTTGGCAGCATTATCTTCCAACTTACACGGAAACGGATCCTATCATGACGATGATCTCAGAACCGATCCGTAAAACCCGCGAGGACTCCATTATATAAAGGCTCCACCCTTGGTGGTTCAATGTACGTGTGATTTATATGCTCTCTAGCTCTCTGCATTCTTTAGCTATTTTTAGCTCGCAACCAGTATATTGACTTAAGCATCGGAGCGATCTCGCTGGGCTAACAACCTTGGGTTCCCTGATTCTCTTGTAGATCAACTGTTTGTCGTCCGCCCGGAAGCCAGATCACCTCCAGCAGAGAGCAGCTAGATCGCGCTTCATCACGTACAATCGACACTATTATAGTCCTTTTCTTTTTTCTTTCAACTACTCCAAATTGAAGTAGCTAAAGAGAGGTTTGGTTTTGCATATTTTTTGGGTAGCTTTATACTTGGACCTGATTGAGAAAACCTGTTCAGTTTCTTCAAGTCAAACAGCTTGGTGTTGGGTCAATCACTTTCATGTTTTCGAACCGTGTTGACCTAGATGGTTGGACTATTCAGCCTGGAAACCATTCAGGCAATCGGTTCTGTTTACTCCAAGCTTGGTCCCTAGTCAAAAACCATTGAATCGGTTAATGATCCATTACTCACCTGGTCGAACCATTGACCCGTTCAATGATATTTGGTCGTTTTTCATTTTATTTTTTTTTTATTTTTTTATCAGAACGGGCCATCCATTTGAACCAGATGGTTAAACCATTGACCTAGAAACCAATGGCCAAAATGGTTCCAGTTCCGGGTCATTTTTAAAACATTGATCATTTCTCTTTAACAGACCTAGCTGGTCCAATAGATCCAGACTCTCCTTATTGGCTTGCATAATAAATATTTTTGTATACCTCCCCTGAGGTTTCAATCACAAACCCTCCTTATTTATCAATTTATTAAGATGAGAGACCGAATTAAGGGTATGTTTGGGTTGCAGGAGAAGGGGTTTGGAATCGAATATGGAATGGCCCATGCCCCCAAACCCTATTTATCTTTAACTTGACAGAAAGCCTCCCTTCTTCCATCTTTGTGGGGAATAAGCCATTCCAATTCCAATTCTCGTCTAAACCAAATAACCAAAGGAATAGACAATTCTAGTTCCATCTATGAACCAAGCATACCCTAAGATGAAAATAAGTATTTTACCAAAAGTGCCCTTAACAATAAAACATAAAATTTATTTCCAAAATATGTATTTAAACACTGAATACAGTTCTACCATCTAAAAATTTTAATTTATTTATTTCTATGAACACATTTTTTAAATTTTTTCATTCCCGGCTTAACGTATGCTATAATAGCAAGAAATTTTATTTTCTTTTTCAAAATATACAAAAAAAATCCATGTAATTTGCAAGAAGGTGCCAAAAATGTAAATTGAGAACTTTTTCTTTTTCTTTTTTTTGGGGGGAAATTGTCTAAAACTCACCATTAGTTTTCAATATTTCCCTTAAACTCACAACAACTTTTCAAAATGTCTAAAACTCACCATGCCAGTAAGTTTTTATTTTCCAAAACTCACCTTCCATTAGTGCACCATTAATGCTTCTTAACAGAGGTGTCCATGTCAGCATAAATAACAATTTTCATGATCAAATTACCCTTGAATGGCAAGTTAGAGGAAAAATGGTCTTTTCAGTTTTCAATTTTCTTGTTTTTTTTTGCATTTTTAGTATTTTATTATAATTTTCATTGTTTTTTTATAACTTCTGTTTTTTTACATTTTCTATTTTCTACAATCTATAAATGTTCCTGTATTTTTTTGTTATTTATATGTAATTTTTGTGTTTTTCTATATTTTTTGGTGTTTTTTCTACAATTTTTATTTTCTGATTTTGTTTTTCAATTTCTATAGTTTCTGTAATTTGAAAATAATTTTCTATTTTGTTTGAAATTTTTATAATTTTTGTAATTTCTATGTTTTATTGTATTTTATATTTGAAAAAAATTTTTGAATTTTTTCCTTTTTTCATGTCTAAATATTAAAATGGTAATATATTAACACATGTTAATTTATTTTGTATATATTTTATATTTTTCTATGAAGGTTAAAATGGTAATATATTAACACCCGTTATTCTGTTTAACATCAAGTTAGTGAAATGGTGAGTTTTAGACATTTTGAAAAGTTGTGGTGAGTTTAAGAGAAATGCTGAAAACTCATGATGAGTTTTGGACAATTTCCCTCTTTTTTAGTATTACATCATACACACTACATGGAGATTAAGGGGGTGGAGGACACTCGGACATAACAGAGTGCACATGAAGTCCATTAACCTTACCACACACCATAGAGAGTCTGCAGTTAGGTGGATTGGATTCCACACCTTTTTGAGAGATATGCTGAGTGACCGAGTTCGGATCACATACCGACAAAATATGTTCCAACACCCTACCAACATCATCTGACACCATACATCTCATACATGACTGGTCCCACTTTTATGGTGGGCTTCAGTTTCATAGTGAAATATGGAGTGTCAGATCAAGTTGGTAAGGTGTTGCAATATATTTTGTTGGCAGGTGATCCCAGTAATGAGTGACCATCTCAGTTTGGGACAGAGCAGCAGCTTCTGATTTTCTTAGGTAGGCCCTACACTGACAGCCTTTAAGCTATGTTTGATGAAAAAATTGGAGTCCAAATCCATTGTTAGTTATTGGACTGTTCACTTCAGTCTCTTTACATAACTTATTCAGAGTGCCTCAAAGCAGCTGAACCAGCTTAGTTAAATGTTCAGCTCGGCCCTCCCAAACCAGCACTTAGTCACTAAACTCCAGTGAGTTTATATTAACTCCTAATTAAAGAGGTAAGTTGTTAGGTAAGCTCAAGGGGTCGTTTGGCAAATCATGTTTTGCTTAATTCATATTCTGATGATGATGGTTCAAACTTGGAATCTTTGGTAACCTTGGGCTGGGTCTTGGGCCGTCAGAATGGGTTAGTATCTGTCTGAAACCAGCCCCAAATTATCTTGGATTACAAAATTGAACCATGTCCCAGAATTCCCGGCCCTGGATGATGAACCCCATATCTGGGCAGGCCTTACTTTGGGTGGGTAGGGTGGGCTCAGTCTGGCCCAAACCATATTGCAGCCCTTTTGTGGATAATCTACAAAGGAACCCATCTTGACCCGATCAAAGATCCATTTCCGATCTGATAACTTTTAGGAGGGAGACGATCTTGTGCAAGTAGAACTTTCTTTGCTATTTCTGAAATTTTCTTCAAAATTTTGTAAAATATAATTCAGACGTGGAATTAGGTCTCTATTCTCTCTTTTTCTTCTTATCCTAATTTTGCTCTGATTATTTTTTTCTATCACATGACCAGTCGACACAATCCATCTCTTTTGAAACTTACTCTGAATTCCTTTCTAATTCTCTCTCTACCCTCAAAATATCTTTCCTTTCCCCAGAATTCTCTCCTCTGCATCTAAATTCTCTCTAGAAGTTACTTAAACCCACCATTTTTTATTGGATTTCTTAAAATTTTTTCTACCCATTCTTGTGCAGATGCAGGCCTCTTCTGCTAGTTTAGGTGTCATTTGACAAGTCTTTTTGGAAATATTTTATGATTTCTGATAGTTCTGACAATTAAAAGATGCATTGAGCTTTTGCATTAAGACGTGAGCAGCTTGAAGCCTGTTTGGTTAAGGTATGTCTTTTTAGGTGTCTTTCTACATGAAAACGAATAGAAAAAATGCAAAAGCTTCATTTGAACCTTCCTGAAAATCGCCCATTTTAAACTTCTTGTGTCTTTTTAGTGTGTCGATTTTTTACGATTAAATCTATCGCAAACCAAACGGGAAAAGACCGAATCGCATCGCGGTCTATCAAACATGTAAATAATTGGCAGATCACACGCTAAACAGGGCCTTAATATTAAGCCAAGCCAAGGTGTACCCTCAAACTACAGCCCCAATAAGAAAGAGTTCACTTTTGCTAGATACTGTCATAGCGAGGGCTAAACTCCAAAATCATAGCCCTAGATGTATTACAATGGCCCCACCAAGAATGTACTTCATATAATTTAAAGTGGAGTCATGGAAACACACCATGATTTAGTTGTTTCAGTGACATTATCGACACATTCTTGGTGGAGTCATGGAAACACACCAATTGGGCATCATTGGATGCTGCACAGAATTTATATTTCCATTAAAACCCCGAATAATCTGATACTGTGAATCTAAACGTGGGGTAATCTGTTGGATTATCGTGTTCATAAAGGCTGATGGTACAAGACCCAGGGTTGGGCCCTTTGGTTGGTTGAATTGAATGTAGCCGGAGAACTCCTATTGGTGGAAAAGAACAATACAGCTTGAATATGTTGGGTCAGTTTTCTCTCAAGTACAATCTTTGTGGGACCAGTTTTAATGCATTGCACCTGCTTGATGAAATGCATAGCTAACATTGTACACGGGATACTGTCTAACAGTTTAGTAATACAAGATTCTGGTCCAGAGAAGAGAGAGAGAGAGAGAGTTGCAACATGCATGTTCCTAGAAAACTGCATAATCCTGATCAAACAAGCAATTAGATCAAACAGGTATTAGAGTCTACGGAGCGGCCATATATTCATTACAAGCAGGTCTGGTTTACTAAATTAGTGGGGATTTAATCTAGGGGAGACTTGCTCTTCATACTCTTTCACGTTCCCCATTGGATTCTCCTCAAACCTTCCCAACCTCAAGTAGCTAAGCTCCACGCCCAGAGCCTCCCCATCGAGCGCCAGGTCGGCGAGAATCCGTCCCACCGCTGGCCCCATCTTGAACCCATGGCCGGAGAATCCACCGGCAACAACTACATCCTTTCCAAACTCACCACCACCCAAGTAATCAATCACGAAATCCCCATCAGGCGTCATGGAGTACATGCAGGATTGTGACATAACGGGCCCACTTGAGTCCACTAGGCCTGAGAATCGCCGTTGGATCCACTGGGTCACTGAATCCCCTATCAATGTGGGAGCCCATGTCCTCTTGTCCGGGTCGCATGGGTAACCACCATGCACGGCGATCTTGATCAACCCCGGGAACTCCAACGACGGTGTCCCATAAATGTAGGGATCACCGTAGCTCGCAAACGACGGGAACCCGCCGTGGATGGAGAATTCCGACTCGTATCCCTCCTTGATCCTCCAGTAATGCACTGTGGTGTGTAAAGGTTGAATGGGCAGCACCAGACCACTAACCGTTTTCACCAGCTTCTTCATCCAAGCCCCAGCAGTCACCACGCATTTCTTACCCAGAAACGTCTCGCCATTTCCCGTGCAGACTCTGAGGCATCCTCTCTCACCATCCCTCTTGATCTCCTTCACTTCCATGTTGTCTCTGAGAACAGCTCCCCTTCGAATTGCCAGTGTTTGGAACATGCTGACTGCCTTCGTGGGCTTAATTACACCACCCATCTCGGTGGACAGGCCGATCCAATTCTCGGGCAACTCGAACTTGCCGGAGAAGTGCTCCGACGCCTGCTTCCAGTCGAGGATGCGATAGGGAATCGAGTTGGTTTGGCAACTGGCAATGACTGCTTGAAGGCTCTTGTTGTCCGGCGGGCCGAAGTCGAACTGTGGAGCCTTGAAATAGACACGGTACCCGATTTCTGATTCGGCTTCCTCCCACAGACGAGATGACTCGATGACCATGCCGGGGTAGTAATCTTCAGGGTACGTTGCACGTATCGTGCGAGACTCGCCATGAGATGAACCTCGGTGGTGCAAGAAATCGAATTGGTCGAGGAGGAGCACTTTCCGGCCGCGCTTGGCTATTTGATAGGCAGCGCAGCTTCCCATGATACCGGCGCCGACGACGATTACGTCGAACTGGCCACGGGTGTCTCCCATCTTCACACACACAGTCTCTCTGTGCCTCTCTCTGGGACTCAAACAAAACACACAAGCTCATACACGTACAAAAAGCTCCAGTCTTTCTCACAGTAGGCTGGCTTCCAAAGTTCCAATCGAGTATTTGAAGGAAGACCTTTCTACTATTGACGCTATGGTTCCACATAATTACACAAATGCCACCAAAGAAACACGAGATTATTGAAAAATTTCCGCTCCATTTTGAAAGAAAAGAATTTTCGCTCGTTCCTGGGCTGGGAAGCAATGTGGATCCGCTACGGACAATGACGCGACTAATTCCTACTCACAAAGCACTACAGCCGCACATTTCGTATTATCTTCTCGTGAAAGATATAGCATACAAATAAGGGATATATGTTCCGGAACGGATCTGCAGCCGTAGATAGCGTTCTTGTGGGTAGCAAAGACCATGTCTCCTTGTTTTGTTGAAAAATTTTGATTGTTGGGTGAGGTGATTTTAATTTAACATCCACCATTAGAGAGGAGGATAACAAGCCATGTGGCTACTGTTTAAAGAATCTTAAACTTTCTTATTCTTACCCAGATCGGGTAGAGATGGTGGTTATTGGTTAAGCACACAATGAGAGTGATATTTTTAAGTGTGCCTAGGGATGTCAATGGATCAGGTTAAATGGTAAATCTGACTTAACTCGGCCCTATAAGGTCAAGTTAGGGTCAGGTATACTTGAGTGTAGGGTTGGGTTAGGGTTTTGATTCTTCAACTCGAGCTAGATTTGGGTTTTGCTGATTTAGCTTGTTGGGTCATAATACTCCCCTATATATTGGGGGTTTAATATTGTTTTTCATGTTTGTTTGGTTTTTCTTGTTTTACTATGGAGAAAGACACCTCAAGATCCATAAACCATATATAAAACAAGGAAGTCTAGAAAATTTCTCCTTTTTTGAATTTTTAATCCATTTCATTTTTTGAAACTACCAATTAGAAACTCTACTTTCCCCAAAACATCTTCCTAAATTCTCTCTCTCTCTCCCTCCCTCCCTCCCACATGCTCCAATAACCTAAATAATCTAATATTCTAAAATTTCTCCTAAACAACCTCCCCCACTATCCCCAACATTCTCCTAAATTATCTCTAATTTAGTAGAGAGTTTCTCTCTTAAATGATCTCTAATTCTTATTTATCTTCTCCCCCACTTTTTATCTATATCTATCTAAAGAAAGTATCAATTAAAAAATTTAAGAACTATTTAAATATTCTAACAAAATTATATAACAACTTTAAAATATTTATTAAAAAGACAAAAAATACTTACAATCGATTTAATAATATTCATATTATTAATAATTATATATTTTTATAAAATTCATCATAAAATTATGTACAAACAATATAAATTATGCTTTTTTGGATTATTCAATCTAAATGTTATTCAAATAATAAAAATCTAACATTAAAAATGAAATATTATTTAAATATTTCAATAACTAAATATCTTAAATAACAAAATATTAAAATTAATATTTTAAATCAATTAATAATATATTTTAAATACTTACTGAATAACTTTCAGTTATAATACATAGATTAAGATTTAAATATTTAGTTAAATAACTAAATATTTTAAATAACAAAATATTTAACATAACTAGATTTTACATAGTTAAAATAACAAAATTATGTATTAGTAGTAATATAATTTTATGGATTATTAAATTCAATAAGTAATTAATATTTTAAAATTTAAAGTGATATTATTTCAATAAATAAATAATATTGTAAATAAATAATTTCATTTGTACCAATTAATAATTCTAGAAAATAACTTTCAAAAAAATATTGATTATTAATAATAATAATTTTAAAAACTTAATATATATATTATATTTATCTATACTAAAATTAATATTTATTGTATTTCAGTAATTATTCATTGTTTTCTGTGATAAATATATTTTCAATAATTATGTATAAATCTATTTTTGTTTTGTTATTTAATAGAAAATTTCAATAATTATTAAATCAATTAATAATATATTTTAAATAGTTATTGAATAGCTTTCAATTATAATACATAGATTAAGATTTTAAATATTTTGTTAAATAACTAAATATTTAACATAACTAGATTTTAAATAGTTAAAATAACAAAATTATGTATTAATAGTTATATAATTTTATGGATTATTAAATTCAACAAGTAATTAATATTTTAAAATTTAAATAATGATATTATTTCAATAAATAAATAATATTGTAAATAACTAATTTCATTTATACCAATTAATAATTCTAGAAAATAACTTTCAAAATAATTAATGTTTATTAATAATAATTTTAAAACTTAATCTATATTTATTATATATTTATATATACTAAAATTAATATTTATTATATTTCAGTAATTATTTATTGTTTTTTGTGATAAATATATTTTCAATAATTATGTATAAATCTATTTTTGTTTTGTTATTTAGTAGAAAATTTTCAATAATTATTGAAGTTTAAGCTATTTTTATTTAGCTTTTTATATTTAATTTATTTTTATTTTCTCTATTAATTTTTAATAATTATTTGATGTTAAACTATTGTTCGCTAGTTAGTCCGGTTTAGTTGTAAGTTGTTTGGCCAACCAAATCCACCTAGTCAGGTTGGGGAGTTGGCTAGTCAAGTTATATTGGTTTAGGTTAATTTTCAGTTTGATCACTCGATTTAAAAGATTTAAACTTAAAAAAATAATTTTAAATTAAAAAAAAATTACAATGGAATTATTAAAAAAATAAATTTATGATATAAAATATTTTAGCTTAGGAAATATTAGAAATTTCCCACTTTCATGTATTAAAAATATATTTAAAATATAAAATATTAATATATATTTATGGTTGGGTCATTCGATTTTAGATAGTTTACAAAAGGCCAAAGCAAAACTAATCTTATAAAATTTCGGAAGCCAAAGGTGTATCTGTTCCATTGATCCTTATGGTATTTATATAGAAACGGCGGTGGAGTTCCTTGCTCCCTAAAACTTTCTAAAACAAACTTCCTAATCCAAAGAGGAAAAAGACTTCCTATATTAGTACAGGTACAGATCCGGGACTCTTCTCTGGGACTCTTCTGTAACATACAAAGTCGGGACTTTCGCGAGTGGACTCTCGCGAGTCTTCTTATCTTCGTCCAATACTCCCCCTCAAGGTGGTGCATGAGGATTGCGAATGCCCATCTTGGGAAGGAAGGAATCAAACTGTTGTTGTCCGAGGGCCTTGGTGAAAATGTCGACAAGTTGTTCACCGGTACGGACATTGGCAGGTGCAATAGTGCTGGCTTGGAGCTCATTGCAAATGAAATGACAATCAACTTCAATATGTTTGGTCCGCTCATGGAAAACAAGGTTCGCGGCAATGTGCAGAGCAGCTTGATTGTCATAAAATAGGTGTATAGGTTGAGGATGAGAGATACCCAAAGATGATAGCAGACCTTTTAGCCACTTCAACTCACAATTGGCAGTAGCCATTGACCGGTATTTAGCCTCAGCAGAGGAACGGGAGACAATATGTTGTTTCTTGGTTTTCCAGGAGATGGGGGAATGTCCGAACATGATAAAATACCCAGTAAGAGAGCGACGAGTGAGAGGGCAACTTGCCCGATCGGAATCACAGTAGGCATATAATTGCAGATCACTATCAGAGCGCAAAAATATTCCTTGACCAGGACGTCCTTTCAGATAATGAACCACACGTAAGGCTGCATCCCAATGATCAACTCGAGGACTGTGCATAAATTGAGATAGGACATGGATGCAATAACTAAGCTCCGACTGTGTAATGGTTAAATAAATCAAACGGCCCACATGACGTCGATATCGTTCCGAGTCATCCAGGAGCTTGCCGTCGACAAGGGCAAGTTTATGATTTTGAGTAATAAGAAAGTGAACAGGTTTGGACCCTAACAAGGCAGTTTCGGCAATAATGTCAAGGGCATACTTTCTTTGGCAAAGGAATATCCCTAATGATCCGCGAGTTACTTCGATGCCCAGAAAGTATTTAAGAGCACCCAAGTCCTTCATGTGAAAGCACCGGTTCATATATTGCATAAATTTGTGGATGAATGCCGGGTCATTCCCACCAACGATTAAGTCATCAACATAAACCAGGACATGCAAGACAAGCCCCTTCTTGCGATATGTAAATAAAGAATAATCAAAGCAACACTGATTAAAACCAAAGATTTTCAAGGCAGAACTTAATTTAGAAAACCAATTCCAGGGGGCTTGCCGTAGACCATACAAAGACTTCCGGAGTTTGCATATCTTACCTGTTCCAGAGGTCAAAAAGCCTGGAGGAGGTTTCATATAGACCTCCTCATAGAGATCACCGTGCAGGAAAGCATTGCGGACATCCATCTGATGCAATTCCCAACGTTGGGCCGCAGCAACTGCTAAGAAGGTTCGAATTGTGACCATTTTAGCCACAGGGGCAAAGGTTTCATTGTAATCAAGACCTTCAACTTGAGTGTTGCCCAAGGCTACCAACCGTGCTTTAAATCTTTCAATGGATCCATCAAATTTGTACTTGATTTTGTAGACCCATTTACATCCGATTGCCTTTTTTTTCAGGAGGGAGGTCTTCCAAGGTCCATGTCCCATTGTCTTCCAAAGCCTGTATTTCTTGGCGCATAGCTTCGCGCCATCGAGCATCAGTCATTGCCTCAGAGAAACGAGTAGGTTCTCGGCCTGCAGTAATAGCTGCCAAGAAATGCCTGTGTTTCATAGAAAAATTATCATACGTCACATAATGAGTTATGGGATAAGGAGTACCTGAGGATTGAGATGATGCAGGATAAACAGCGGAGGGGTCTAAACAATGAGCAGAGTGTGTGACAAAGTCCTGTAAATAGCTAGGGGTTCGCTTTTCTCGATGTCTGCGGCCTAATAACTCCGTGGTGAGCTGAGGAACAGCTGGAGTTTCATTATTCCTGCAATCTATATGGCTCCTTGTCTCATCAGGGGGGCCTGCCTCCTCATCATTACCCGTGTTCTGATGTTCTTCATTGGTCGTGTTGCTCCCCCTGACTTCTATATGAGGTGACTTAGATACCATGTCAGGAGGAGTAGTTGCAAAGTTCGATGGTTGGAC